CAGGACAAATCCCATTATCTGATAAGGCATTAAGAGAAGTGTCGGTTCCTCCGCAGCCCACGCGCTAGTTCTCTGCTGTTCTTGGAGATAATTTAAACAGCAGCACCTAATTGGAAGCTGCAGGGCATGGATTATACTGTCAAGGAAATGTGATTCAAACACACACTCATTTACCTTTGCTCTAACTGCTGACCTTAACCTACTAACCGCGCACGGAGCCGAGCCCTGCGCTGCTCCCTGGCGCACGGCTGAGCAGGGCAGCCGCCGGCGGCACGGGGAGAGTTCTCTTCTGAAGAGCCTCCAGGACCTGGGTGCTCAGAGAGAGCTTCAAAGTTCCCAGCAATGCCTCCAACACGTCTGGCTTTACCTCTGTGGAAAATGAGTGATGTGCAGAGTACGTTAGACTCAGTGCATGGAAAGCCTGGTCACAGCTGAGGCTGTGCTGCGGCCAAGGGGGTTACAGGGGGCGTGAGGGGACACCCAGGATGTGGAGTTCACCTTTCCAGGCACTCTTACAGGTTGTGGCATCATCCCTTCAGGTGCTAAGACCACAGTCGGGTCTGGCTGCCCTGCAAGTCATGAAGGTGCTAAGCCCCCAGAGGGGACATTGTGGGGGGTCCTGAGGCTGCATCCCTGACGCGTCTCATTCACGGCAGCTGGAGGCCTTCGGGTCCTTCAAACATCTTCAAGTCCTTTGGGACAGTGCTCGAACAGTCAGGACTGTGCTGGAGGTGTCTGAGTTGCTCTGAACACACCCTCCCCACCACAGCTCACTCCTGCATGGCCGCAGAGCCCGCTCAGGGCCACATCCGAGCCGGGTGCTGTTCCCCCCAGGAGAGGTGCAGCCCAGCAGCCCTCTCTGCTCACGCCAAGGAACCAATGGCACATCGCTGAAATGTCACTAGAAAACCGGTGCACATCAGCCCTGAGGTACATTTTAAACAGGTTATTTGGGACTGGAAGTTCCTACCCGCTCCTACAAGTGAAGATGAGACGTGATGAAAATGGGCTCCT